CCGCGCTCGACGTGTGCTGTGATCATCGCATTCCAGGAGACGACGTCGTGCTGCGGCATCCGCCAGAACATCGCGCGCGCGTCGTCAAGATTTCCTCTCCTGGCGTAGCCAGCGACCATCGCGTTCCAGATCACGATGTTTTGCTGGGGAATCGAGTCGAATATCGCCCTGGCATCGTGGATCCGGCCGTGGCGAGTGTAGAGCGTGATCATCGTGGTTCCAAGGTACACATCCCACTGCGGCATGCTCTTCTTGATCTTCTTGGCCTCCGCCACATCCCCTCTCCGAGCATAGGCAGCCGCCAAGGAATTCCAGGTGACCGCATTGCGCTCGGCCATGGCATCGAAGATCCGCCGCGCCTCCTCGACCTCGCCATTCTCGACATAGGCCTGGATCATCAGATTCCCGGAGAAGGAATTGGGGCAAGGGATGGAGTCGTGCACGGATCGCGCGTCGCGGGGGCTGCGGCACTTGCCATACATCTCCACGAGCAGATTGGCGAGGTACAAGCTCTGGGCATGGATGCTGCTGCCGCGGATTCGAGCATGCAATCGCCGCCCGCCACACAGGTCGCGGTTCCTCCCGCATTCGCGGACGAGCTCGCCGAGATTCTTCTCCTCAACTCCAGCAGCATCGTCTCTCATCGGCAAATGCCCGACTATGGCATCGCATTCTCCGCGCGTGACAGTTACATTCATCGACTCAGGCTAGCTAGAACAAGGGAGATCTGTGAGGAGTTCCTTTGCGGTGGCTTCTGGGCGATGGAGAGGAGACAAGCACTAGGCTTTTACAAGGCGTGGGTGTGGGTGTGGCGGCCATCTCCGACGAGAGCACGGAGTTTGGAGAGGGTGGAACTAGAGTTACTGGTGGGGGATGTTGGTGGCGAGTAGTAGTGGTGGTGGCGGTGGTGGTACTGGGCTCTCGATCTCTCACAACTATCTGGAGCTTGGTCTTCTTGAAGCCCAGTATCCGAGGAGGAAGAACTTCTTCGCCTGAGAAGATTGACGGTGGTGGTGGTGGTGGTGGCGGCATTCTTATTCTGGTGGTGGTGGTGGTGGTGATGGTCGCTCGTCGCCATGGATGGTGATGGAGCTGGATTGAGTTCTTCGCGGTCTTCCAGCGATCCAGTGGGGGATGACTTACCTGGAGAAGGCCCTTCAGCTGCAATGCTACTGCATTATGTCCCACACGAGCACTTGGAACACTTCCTGATGAACTATGAGGAGAATTCCAACGAAGCTCCGCTGCAAAAATAAAAATAGAAATAAGCTTTCACAAAGAATTAACTCGAGCTTTTTTACTGCTCACCATCAAGAAAACCGGACGTCCATGAAGGGTGTTCTAGCTGCAGCAGCAATTATATTACGGTTCATCAGCGCCTTTTCTCGCTCCAAGCTTTTGATTATCTTTGTCATTTCGGCCTGCATAATT